GCAAGCAGGCTCACTCACTCCATGTCTCAGTTTCCTCCTTTATAAAGTGAGCAGTGGTAATACCACTGACAATAATAACAAAACCTACTTCATATGATCAATGTGATTGACTATATCAGTGTATATAAGATGTCCAGCAGTGCCTGAATGCAAGCACCAAATAAATTTTACAGGAAAGAATTCTGCACACAAGTTTTTTTTAAAAAATATTTTATTATTTTTATTTTTATGTGTATTTGTGTATTGCCTGCATGTATGTGAATGCACCTGTGTTGTACAATGCTGCGGAGGTCAGAAGAGGGCTTCGGATTCTCCTGGAACTGGAGTTAAGGATGTTCACAGCCACCATTAAGGGTGCTGGGAATAGAACCTGGGTCCTCTGCAAGAGCAGTCAGTGCCCTTAACCACTGAGCCATCTCTCCAGCCCTATCACACAAGTTTTTTAAAAAACTGTTCTGAGCCGGGCATGGTGGCGCATGCCTTCAATCCCAGCACTTGGGAGGCAGAGGCAGGTGGATCTTTGTTTGAGGCCAGCCAGGCCTACATAGTGAGTTCCAGGCCAGCTGGGACTACAAGGAGACCCTGTCTCAAAAAGACAAAAAAATGCAAAAAATTTAAAAAATTGTTCTATAGATATTTGTTTTATTAATGAAGCACCAAGACCAGCACAACCAAACAAAAGTCTAGAATGGAGCTGGGAAGAAGTCCTTCAACGTCTCTGGTCTTGAAACAAGGTAAAGACCATGAGAAACTCCATGGACGTTGAGTACATGAGGAAGACATTGCTTAGAGCCTCAGCATTACCTATGGCCTTCCATAGGTTCCTCCAATCAGTGACCTGCCTGGTCTCTGCAATGCGAGGTCACCATGAGGAAGACGGCAATATTCCCTAGGGGTATCACCCCATAATGGAAGTACTACGGCCCACTTCAAAGCCCAAGCCTTTCCACTACTTGATGTGCTTATCAGAAAGGTACTTGCACAAGATTAAATGAAACACACCAAGGTTTGACTCCACACTGAGCCTCTTACTAGCATGCACCTCACAAAACACTCAACAGGAGGGTACCACCACTCCTCAGTTAAATGCTGCCTCTACCACAGGCCTAGCCCTGGGTGCCCTGACTCAGGCTTAACACAGAGGCATCACAGACAGGCAAGCCCAACGTCCAGACTTTCCATGGAAACTGGGAGGCTCTGTAGCCAAGAATTCCCCAGGCGACTCCCCTACCCCGCCTAGTAATACCCCCAAGGACAATGAGGCCCTGTTTTCCAAAGGGTCAAGACTGCTGAGAAGCTGAAAGAAGACATATCCAGATTCCAGCAAATTGGGCATTGCCAACAGACAGCTGTGCCCCCTGTTAGTGGATAAGAAGGCAACACTTACCAAGCTTGAGGGGGTCCCGCCCTTCAAAATACAAGCCAGTGGGGACACCATTCCTCTAGTAGAGCAATAATTGTCTTTTGATTTATTTTTGTTTTATGTGTATAAGTGCACTGCCCACATGTGTGTAAATGAACTTGTATCCTGTAATGCCACGGAAGCCAGAAGGTGTCAGATTCCCTGGAACTTGAGTTACAGATGGTTATGAGCTACTATGTGGGTGCTGGGAACTGAACCTGGGTCCTCAGCAAGAGCAGTCAGGGCTCTTAACCACTGAGCCATCTCTCCAGTCCAGAGCAGAATTTTTTGTCATTGTTTTGAGACAGGGTCTTCCTGTAGCCCCAGCTGGCCTGGAACTCACTATGTAGACCAGGCTGGCCTCAAACTCACAGAGATCTGCCTGTCTCTGCCTCCCAAGTGCTGGGACTAAAGGCATACACCATCATGCCTGGTTCCCAGAGTAGAAATTTTAAAGGTAACTATTGATTACTGAGCTGGCCTTGGGCATCATCCTATGGTTAGTTACCAGCTAGCTCTTCCTCCCTTATAATTAAAGACAACCAGATCCAGAATTAAATCAATCTGAGTTCAAACCCCAGTTCTGCCACACAATTTTCCTAAGCTCACATTTTTGCATCTGTGAAGCAGAGATAAAAACAACAACCTCTCAACCATTGTAGCAAAACCCAGAAAGTGCTGAGCACGGTACCTGTCTCCTATGGAGCACGAGAGAGCATGGTCAGGCTGCACTGTGGTCAAGGCCTCCCCAAATACATTAAGAACTTGAACATGGGAAGTGAGAGGAGCCAGGGCAGAAAGCATAATCAGAGTGTATCTCTGTGTTATGAGAACTCCGTCCAGGAAACTCTAGCCAGAACTCGAACAGGGCGAACTCCCAGCCAAACCAGCATTGAAGCACTAATGAGAAAAGCCACCAGGCAGCTGCCCGGCAGCACAGAGCAGAGCAAACACACAGAGAAGGGCAGGACACACTGTGTTTATGTTTTTCTGCCCAAAGAGCTATAAATTTGTAACTTATTAAACAGCACATGGTAATTCTGTCACTGGCCACAATGGGGAAGGGACGAGTGCTCCAAATTTTTTTTACCTTAAACCAGAAAACAAAGTTATCATGGAGGCTGTACACCCCTTGGCTTCACCACAGGAGACAAATCTTAAACTAGCCCTGTCCCCCCCACCTCCCCCCTTAGGAACCAGGAGGTTCACAGCTGAGATCTCTTTTGGAAGACAAATAAAAACAAGAGGTCTGGCCATTATGTCCACCCTAACTTAAGAAAACAGCTGACAGGCAGTGTGCTAAGCAGCCATCCAGACAGCTGACCGCCTGGGCTCAGAGGCAAATTCCTCTGCCCTCCTGCACACCCATTCCTCCCACCCCAGGCTCTGGTCAGCCAGGCGTGGCTGGCCCCCTGGGAGCTCAGGCCAAGGAAGTGGGGTAGCATGGATCAAGCAACTGGAGTGTCTACTAAAGACAGAAGTCACAGGTGGCAGTCATCACCCACTGCCACCCCCTTTTTCAAGTGCCTCCTCGACCCCTTCCCAGGAAGGAATGCATACAAGAGCTACACAGGGACCAGGCTTCCAGTCAAGATTTTGTTTGTTGGCTGTGCAGCCTTGGGTGAGAGAATCAGCTTCTCTTGGTCTCCATTTTCTCGTCATTTAGAAGGAGGTAGCCATAATGGCAGTGAACTTAGAGAGCTTACACAAAGATTATGTGAGGATAGGGCAAATCCAGGCATGAGGATGTAATCCATAAACAGCAAATTTCAATTCCTACAATTCCCCTCTGCCAGGACACTCTCTTTCCTTTCAAAGACAACTCAGTTTCCTGGCCCTAAATGGAAGACCGTCAGAAGACAGGAATTCCAGACTCTCAAACTCTACAAAGACTTTCTCAGTCCTTCAAACAGCACAGGGGCTGTCCAGATTCAACTAAGCCCTCACCAGCATCTGAAATGCTGTAACTCTGCTCCCTGAGCCTTTCAGAAGCTGATTCAAAGCACACCACCACCACCACACACACACACACACACACACACACACACACACACAGACACACACGTCTCCTTTCAGCTTATTTTTATGTGGAAAAAAAAAAATACCTGCCTGGAAGCCATGCCAACCTTGAGTTCGTTGGAAATAAAGGTGCCAAGTCTGACCCAAAGGCAGAACTATGCTTGGCAGCTATCCCACTCTGCAAAACAAGCAGGACCCTATACCACTCCCAGCTCCAGAATGTCTCGGGAGCTCTCTGATCCCACAAGGAAACTTCAGGAAGGCAGTGGAGTCCAGTGCCTACATCTTAGCACCTATACTGCTTGAGAGAGGTCCCCTAGTCTTATACAGTGAATCTGCTCCTCAGAGCCAGGGACACAGAAGGCACCAGTGGTCACACAGTCATCCACAGTCCAGAGAGTGAAGACAAGGCTCCTACAGAGAAGAAACTTACCACCCCCCAGACCTCCTCAGCTGAGGGGCTCTAAGGGGGACGAGACAGGGAATCCTTCACTCCTGGATTCACAGAGCTCAAGGCATTCCTAGAACCCTGGCATCAACCCCCATGGGTCTAGAGTCAATTTCCATGAGAGCCTTTCTTTCCCCTGTCCTAACACCAGGGTGAACTGAAAAGAGCAGCCTCCGGCTCCAATAACATGAAGACAGTAAAACTCTGTTCTGGGCATCCTGTCTTCCTCACCTGTGTGGCTTCCAGGACGGCCTGGGAGGTGGGGGACCTTGCCAGTCAGAACTCATTCAGAGATGGTCATACCCTGAGGTCTATTCCCTTCTCATTCCTCTGGCACTTCACCAGGGTCTGGGAACGGGGGACTGGAGGAGAGTCTTAACTCCCCAACTTGCTTTTCTAGGTCTAGATATGAGGGGGAAGAGCTGGTCCATACATAGGAAATAGAGTGCCCAGTCCATAAGACAGGGTCACTAGACTTGAAGTGTATGTGTGGGGTGGGGGGGGGTTGAAGGCTATGGGGGGGTTCGGTGCAGCAGGAGGCTGGAACATTCATCACTGAAATGGGGGTGTGGTCCTCACAAGCTCATCTCTAGCTTGTGATAGGAAAAGGTTGCCTCTCGAAGGGCTATATCTCTAAAGTGGGGGTGCCAGTCTGCAAAGTGGGAGGTGGCCTGGAGGGACTAGAAAGCCGTCATGGAAATGAGAAGCCAGCCTGAGCGACTAGGAAGATGCTCCCCAGCGGGGCAAGCGGCTGATTTGTGAGGTGGGGGTGGGAAGCGGTGTGTGAAGTGAGGGTCTCATAGCTGAGGACCTGGTCAGGTCCAGGGAGCCACGCTCCTTTCCCTGCGGCTGCCGGGTTGGGTCCCCGGGGATAAACTGGTGTCTGAACCTGGTGTGGGAGATGAGGTATGTCGCGGTGGTCGGGGGTCCGGATGTAAGGCTGTCCCTCGGCGATGGAGCTGGCCAGGTTCCGGACTCGGGCCCGGGGCGCCATGGCGCCCGCAGAGCCCGGGGCCGCAGGGACAGGAGCCGGGCCGGGCCGGCGGGGTGGGATTCCGCGGCTCCTGCGGCTCCCCGGGCCCCGGGCTGCGCGCCCCGGCCGCCTCCTCCCTCCGTCCCTGGCTCACTCACCGAGGTCGTCCATGGCCGGTCCGCAGGCGCGGGCACCCGGCTCGCCGTCACACTCCCTGCCAGTCCCGGGGCTGCTCCTCACAGCCCCGCAACTTTTCCGCCGCCAGCCTTGGCCTGGAACAGAACGCGCCGCCGACGCCGCGCGCTCCCGCGCCCGCTGCGCCCCGCCTCCTGGCTCGCCCGCGACAATATGGCCCCGCCCCCATGCTCACGATAGCCCCGCCCCACCGTTGGCCCCGCCCCACCGCCGGCCGGAGCGCACCCAGTCCCTCGAGGTGCTCGCTGCGCGTGGTGGTGGCGCCCCCTTGCGGCCAAGCCTGTTGATGGCGGCTTCCAGGCCAGGAACCTCTCCAGTCAATCTCTGTCCCTCTTAAAGTCTGCGCACCGACCGACCGACCGACCTTCAGACCGACAGATGTGCCTGCCAGTCCACTGGAGAACCGGATTTGTTCACCTGTCCATCTGTCCTCCAGGCTCTACCCCCGCCCCCAATAGGATTAAATCAGCAAGGCCTGGAGCCTTGGGCGGACATTCCTAGGGTTGCCCTCCATGCTGTTAGCTGTATAGGTCACAACCTTGGGGGTCCCAGATCCAGTTTCTTGGGTTTTTTCTAATTACAATTATTTATTGGGCGGAAGGAACCCGTATGCCACGATACGTGTGTGGTGGTCAGAGGACAACTTGCCAGACTCGGCTCTCTCCACCGTGTGGGCCCTGGAGGTTGAACTCAGGTTATCAGGCTTGGAGGCAAGCACCTTTACCCACTGAGCCATCTCACTGGCCCTAATATCCAGAGGTTTTTTTTTTTTTTTTTTTTTTTTAAGCCAAGGTCTCTTTATAGCTGAAGCTGGCCTGGAACTTGTGGTTCTTCTGCCTTAGCCTCCTGACCACTGAGATTAGAGGTATCTGCCACCAATTTTGGCCCCTGATCTAATACTTTTGAAGTTCTGTATTCTTTAATTTTCTTCATTATTTGTTTGTTTGTTTGTTTTTTGGTCTTTTTGAGACAGGGTCTCCCTATAGCCCCAGCTGTCCTGGAACTCACTATGTAGACCAGGCTGCCTTGAACTCACAGAGATCTGCCTGTCTCTGCCTCCCGAGTGCTGGGATTAATGGAGTGTGCCATCACACCCGGCATGTATTCTTTAATTTTCACATATCTATCCTTCCTAGAGACTTCGCCAAAATTATGCACAGGGCAAAGAGACCGCACTTTAGACAGTAAAGGAAAAACTACAAAAAATGTCAACCCCCATGCTTGGCACAGTTGCCCAGGGGGCTCTTCACCCCTACAGCACAAACTGAATGATAAAGGCTGGGCCTGAGTCAGACATAGTAGCTCAGGCTTATAATCTCGGCTAGTCAGAAGGCTGTGGCAGAAGGAATATAAGTTCAGGGTCTACCTGGGCAACACACAGTTCAAGTCCAGCCTGTGGTCCCAGCACTTGGGACACAGGCAGACAGATCTTTGTGAGTTCAAGGCCAGCCTGGTCTACATAGTGAGTTCCAGGACAGCTGGGGCTACAGGGAGACCCTGCTTCAAAAAAAGACAAAAAAAAAAAAAGTTTTCTGTTTTTTAATGTGGGGCTGGAAAGATGACTCAGCAGTTAAGAGTACTAGCTGCTCTTGCAGAGAGAGGACCCAGGTTCAGGTCCAGCACCCACATGGTAACTAACAACCATCAGTAACTCCAGTTCCAGGGGCTCCAAGGCACTCTTCTGGCCGCAACAGGTACTTGGAACACATACATACACACAAGCAAAACATTCATTCATACACATAAAAATAAATACATCTTTAAAAAAAAATGAGCTGAATGTGGTAGTACACACCTTTAATCCAGAACATAGTAGGTAGAGGCTGTGAAGATCAGGAGTCATCCACTGCTCCATAGCCAATTTAGTTCAAAGTCAGCCTAGGCTACATAAGAGCCTGTGTCAACAAAACAAAAATAAAGCTGAGCATGGTGGCAGAGGATTATAATCTCAGCCCCTGGAAGGTAGAGACAGGAGGATTAGTAGTTCAAAGCCTCATCTACATAGTATTAGGCAAACCTGGGCAACAGGAGACTCTGTCTAAAATAAATAAATAAATAAATAAATAAATAAATAAATAAATAAATAAATAGTAAATTTTAAAAATCTGGAGAAACTCCAGTTCCAGAGACCTTTAATCCCAGCACTCGGGAGGCAGAGGCAGGCGTATCTTTGTGAGCTTGAGTCCAGCCTGGTCTACATAGTGAGTTCTAGGACAGCTAGGGCTACAAGGAGACCCTGTCTCAAAAAAGATAAAAAAATAATCAAATAAAAAATAAATATAATATTTAAGGGAGCTGGAAATATAACACCTCAGTGATAAAGTGCCTACCTAGCATGTATGAAACTCTGGATTTAATACCCAATACCCAAAAATAAAAAAATTAGTGATTGAGTGATTAAAAATAACTGTCATTTACTGTGTCTGAATACTCACATGCTGTAGGTGTTATCTAAATTATCACTGAGGTAATTATCCCATCCTCAGTCCTTCCCACACTTTGGGATGGGTGATGACAGTCCATTGTATATAGAAACTCTCTACACACACAATTTCCCTTGTTTCTCAAGAATCCAGATGCCAAATTCCTCTGTGTCAGGTCAGGTCCTCCAGGAAGCAGATGTTGAGATAAAATTAGAAGGTGATGCCTGTGAGAGGCAAAGGAAAAAAGTAAAACTGGGCAAGTAGCAACCCAGAGCTGACAAACAGAAGCCAACCTAACTGGGTGCTTGGGAACCAAAAACAGGGGGTGTCCATTGGGTAGAAGTCTAGGCTGTGATACTCCTACTGTGGGGATGTCCAGGAAGATGTGGCCTTGCCTCAAAAGTCCTGCACCTGGAGCTGGCATTACAGCTGGGTGACAAACTTACTTGCGTGTGTGTGTGTGTGTGTGTGTGTGTGTGTGTGTGTGTGTGCATGTGTATGTGTCTGTGTGATGCTAGGGACTGAACCTAGGGAGGCCAGAAGAGGGAGTGTTGGATACCCCTGGAACTAGAGTTAAGGACAGATGTTAGCCCCCATGTGGGTGCTGGGAACCAAATGGGGTCGTCTGTAAGACAGCCAGTGCTCTCAACTAATAAGCCATCTCTCCAGCCCCATTAGGTAATTTTTCAAAAATTTTTAACAAAACCCTAACTCTAAGGCCAGGCATGGTGGCGCATGTTTTTAATTCCAGCACTCAGGAGGCAGAGGCAGGTGGATCTCTGTGAGTTCAAGGCCATCCTGTTCTATATAGTATGTTCTAGGTCAGTCAGGGCAATATAACGAGACCCTGTCTCAAAAAAGAAAAAATGAATAAAGCCCCCCCCAAAAAGTCAAAAGGAACAGATAGAATAATAGTAATGATATCTATTATCTAATTCAATATATTCCAAATGTTACTGTTTCAACTTGTAAAGAGTATAAAAAATATTAATGAGCCAAGCATGGTGGCACGCATCTTTAATCACAGCACTCAGGAGGCAGAGGCAGTGTATCTCTGGGACTTCAAGGCTAGCCTGGTTTACATAGAGAGTTCTAGGCCAGCTGGGGCTATAGGAAGACCCTGTCTCAAAAAAAAAAAAAAAACATAAATAAATAAATACTACTGTATGTTGCTAGGAAGATAACTCAGTGGGTATAAGCACTTGCCACCAAACCTGACTACCTGAGCTCTATCTACAGAGCCCACATGATGGAAGGACAGAACAGATTCCCAAAAGTTGTCCTCTGACCTCAACATGCAGCTCATTGTATGTGTTCCCTTTAACATACTCACACAAAATAAAAAAATGTAATTAAAAAAAACTTTTAAAAAATTTTTATGTGTATGATTGTTTTGCCTACACGTGTGTAAGTACACCTGGATCCCCTGAAACTGGAGTTACCATCGTGTGGGTACTGGGAACTGAACCCAGGTCCTCTACAAGAGCAGCCAGTGCTTTTAACAGCTGAGCTATCTCTCTAACCCCCAAATGTAATAAAAAAATTTTTAAAGCACTACTGTATGAAATATTTGAAATCGAGATGTATTTTACAGCCACAGAACATTTTAATTCAATCAGTTCGAGTGCTCTGTACCCACACATGTGGCCAGTGGCTATCACATTGCACTGGTTTGTTTGGTTGTTTTTTTTGAGACAGCGTCTCGTTGCCCCAACTGGCCTAGAACTCCCTAGATAGACCAGGCTGGCCTCAGTCTCACAGAGCTCCTCCCTCTGCCTCTGCCTCCCCAGTGTTGGGATTAAAAGCAAGCACCACCAAGCCCAGGTTGCACTGCAGGTTTAGAACTCAACTGTTGTCATTTGTGGAGTTTCTGTTTGTTTGAGACAGGGTCTCTTTTAATCCATCCTGACCTCCAACTCCATATATAGAAAAGAATGAATTTATGATCTTCCTGCCTATACCTCCCAAGTGCTAGGAAGACAGGTGTGCAACATCATGCCTGGGTCTATTGGCGGGGGGGGGGTTCAGCCTGAAACTATTTCCTCAGAAAAACATTCTCTGACCTCTGTTAAGATTTTCTTTTTTTTTTTTTTTTTTTTTTTTTTTTTTTAGCATTTTAGAAGTCCTCAAATGACTATAATTAAATAATTCCTTTTTATTTTTAAAAAAATTTTTATTTTATGCTGGGTGTGGTGGTATATGCCTTTAATCCTAGAACTCTGGAGGCGGAGGCAGGCAGATCTCTGTGAGTTTGAGGACAGCCTGGTCTACATAGTGAGTTCCAGACCAGTTGGGGCTACAGGAAGACCCTGGTTCAAAAAGGCCAAATTTTTTTTTAAATCTTATTTATTATATTTATGTGTATGAATGTATTGCCTGCATGTATGTAAGTGCACCTGTGTCATGCAACGCCCACAGAGGTCAGAAAACGGCATCAGATTCACATGGAACTGGAGTTATGGACGGTTGTTAGCTGCCATGTGGGTGCTGGGAATTGAACCCAGGTCCCCTGCAAGAGCAGCCAGTGCTCTTAATGGATGAACCATCTCTCCAGCCCCAATTAAATAATTCTTTTTTTCCTTTTCTTTCTTTTTTTTTTTTTCGTCTTTTGGTGAGTGGTCTCCCTATAGCCCCAGCTGGCCTGGAACACGCTATTTAGACCAGGCT